CTACTAGGGGCTCCTGGCATCGCTACTAGGAGCAAGGACGCTACTAGCGGCTCCTGGCATCGCTATACTAGGAGCAAGGACGCTGCTAGGAGCAAGGACGCTACTAGGGGCTCCTGGCATCGCTACTAGGAGCAAGGACGCTATATACTAGGAGCAAGTCTTTCCAGTCTTTCCCCAGCAGCGTTTCACGCAACATGTCTTGGTAGTTTGCTACACAGACATTTGTCAAGCTGACAGAAATTGAATTCTAGACAAAATCCGATAAGATTTGCACGTTTCTTCCAACCTTGCTAACTCAGCTGGCCACGTAGTCTTACTGTTACTATGTCTTACTCCACTAAGTCATCATGAGTCATTCCTTTCTACACCTCTTAATGATGGAGTGTTACTATGTGTTACTGGAATTTTCTGTCCCGATGTGCCCTTATGCTCATGCTGCCGGCCCCTGTTCTTTTGCTTCGAACGGTTTCTTTTCACCCATACCTGGCTCTACTAACAAGTCAAGGGGTGGTTAAGGAGCTGCGTTTGACACATATTCGACCGTCGGGTATGTCAATGTGTATGTCATTTGATGTCATTTGTGGCTGGATTTGGAGGATCTTGCCATGGAGCTTGAGAGCCAGGTGGGCTCGACTCGGCTCGACCACTTGACCTGGATTGAATGGAAAGTGCAGTTTTGGCAAGACTCTCATAGGGATTTGTTGCTTAAACTTGTCACATGCGAGCAGAGGAGAGAGGCCAGATATGCAATAGCAAGGAGAGAGGAGTTCATCTCTTGCAGAGACCGTAAGCACAAAGGAATTAAGTCCAGGTTTGCTGGTTTGACTTAGAATCTTGAGTGGACTACGGATCGTCGCAGCATGTCGAAGTCAAGTTCTGAATGGGGCAAAGGAGGGCAAAGGGAACAAGGAAGAAATATAGTAGCGATGGCCTCCACCCTAGAAGCGCTGGCCTCCACCCTAGCAGCGATGGCCTCCGAAACCCATAAGGATAAGTAAGAACAATGGTCTCAGCCTGATCTTGGTTCTTGAAAAAAACAGGTAACTTGCAAGGCAAGCAATCCGCCATGGCTTACCGACCACTGGAGAACTATGACCCTAACAATGATCCATGGCGTTCACCGGACGATGACAACACTCCAACACAGGGAGCTATTCCGAGCTATGCCGCGGGACCAATGAATCCCAGACAAATGAACGGCATGGGCCAGGCATGCGGTCCCCAGGCTCCCAGCTGCAACAGCCGCAGATGAACTACAGTAACTACAGCATGCCGTTTCCTGGCCAAGGATGTGGGTTACCAATGCCGCACCAGCCACATCAGCAGCCGCAGCACCACCACATGCCTCCCATGAATGTGGGTGCTGGGCAAAACTTTGGTCAATCGTCCAGTTTTGCACCACCGATCCAAGCATTAGCCAGAGTTTCCATCAACAGATGACGGTGCCACCCATGCCACCGTCGCAGCCGCTGCAGTCACAGCATCCGCAGCCACAGCAGATGCAAACGCAGCAGATGCACTCTGGTAGCATGCAGGCTTCTGGGAGTTCCCACAACCAATGGGTCAGACAGCAATGCCGGGTTTCCAGCCACCTCCATCCACAGCTCTGCAACAAATGCAGCAGCAGATCCCACCAAGGAGTCCAAGGAGTGAAATGCAGCAACAGATGTTCATGCATCCAGTGCCACAACCCCCAATGCAACAGCCACAGCAGATGACAGCTGGCAGCATACAACATTCGGGCCAGGACGTCACTGTCATGCCGCAGCAGCCTCACCCAAATCAACAGTGAAGGCATGCAGTTTCAGCATTTGCAGCGACATCACTCACCTGTGCCTGATGTTGGCGGCATGCAACAGTGTGGCCAGGGATTTAGTTTTTTGCAACACCCTCAACAGAGGTGTGCGTCCCCAATTCCGCAGCAGATGCAGACCCCACCGAACTTCTACCAAGATGAGGCGCATTTTCCGTTGGTGGATGTGGTGTTGGAATGCCACTCGCGAGATGAGAAATGGGGAATCTCGCTGGGCTCCACTGACACAGACTTTGTGCGGGTGCAAGGTGCGGTCGATCGCGCCGGGGTCGCCAGCCGACCGTTGGAATGCATGCCTGCCAATTTGGTGTTCCTGAGAAGGCCTAAGAGAGGTGGATAGAGATAGTCCCAACAAAGTGGAAAAAGGGCCGCTGCATGGTGCTAAATCTCGTGTTTTCGAGCTACCTAAAGCATTCTAAAGCATTTCTTTGAAAGAAATTTGAAGATGATTGATTCAATGATCGAAGATGATCGAGTTGAAGATGACTTCAAAACTTGCCCAGCTGGGGCGTTCTCAGCGATGGTTTCCACCTTAGTATCGATGGCCTCCACCTAGTAACGATGGCCTCCACCCTAGTAGCGATGGCGTCCACCCTAGTAGCGATGGCCAATGAAGTGATGCAATTCTTCATTGCCACCAGCTTACCTTGCGAGGCACGCCGTGTAACTCTTCCCCAGGGAGCTGTAGAGCTCGTGAGCAAGTGGGTGTGGCAGCCCATGTCGAGCATTGAGTGATATTGAGTGAATGCCTGCAAAGAAATGAGTGATCGCAATCGGTCTCAGGTACTGTATTGTCTTTCCTCATATCCTGCGGGGGTAGAGGACGCTACTAGGAGCAAAGGGCATCGCTACTAGGAGCAAGGACGCTACTAGGGGCTCCTGGCCTTACTACTAGGAACAAGACGGTACTAGGGGCCCCTGCCCTTACTACTAGGAACAAGAAGCTACTAGGGGCTCCTGGCCTTACTA